TGTTATGCTATGTCTTTAATTAATACCATCTTTTACTAGTCATTTCACAATTACAGAGCTCTGTTTTTCTTGTGCCAGTGCAAAGCAAGTAATCTAACAGGGCCAAAAATGATAGTAAAATTGCAACTGTTTTTCATTAAAATTCTTCTGCGTGTTAAAATTCTGTTCAGATTCTCTTTCTCCCCCAAATCACTTTTGTCCTGTCCTTTCCCCTAGCCTAGTAGGCTTCCTAGGACATGTTTAATAACATCAGTTATCCTTTTTTGATATGATAATAATTACCTAGGAAATACAGGTGTTGTGAAAAGAGATAGTTGAATGAAACATTCAAAATTTAAGTATGCAAAGCAGTTCAGGATTGCTGCTCCGTAGGGCGCAGAGGTTGCTAAGGCTGCTGACTCGGTGATTTGTGCTGATGCAGGAACAGATACCACCCTATTGCCAACAGTTTCCCTTGGCATAGGTAACCCTTGGATAAATCATCTTCCACTACTGCAATGGGTTCATTTTGTGTCAGGTGATGGCTGAGATCTAAAAGTGCCAGCTACAGAAGTAAGACCTTTTCAGGGCAGGTCAAACTGCTTAATGTCGATTAAGTTGTGATGTGGTCAGCTGAGATTGAAAATTCACTTTCTTTTCCTCTCTATAGTAGAATGAGATTTTCACTCCTGAAAGAGTCTGTCTATCCATTCTGTCGCAATGTGTTGATTAGAACCTCATTTTATAGAAATTATTGTGATTTCCATGGGAAGGTTGAGCTTCAGGCATTGTAGCTATGTTCTCAAAGGTACCTAAAGAATGCCAGTTGATACAAAAGCACATTTTATCTGCTTCCAGGTGTTGTGTTCCATGTTTATTGCTGGGAAAAGAGAAATGAGGAGACTGACTGAATTCCCAAGGTAAGACTACTGTATGCAAAGATATGTTAAAATCTGGCTTTATTCAATCTGAGTGTTGTTATTTGGCAAATATATGAGGGAGATCCAGAATCAAATGGAGTGAAATTAGAAATAAAGCAAACTTTACTTGAGAGCTTCTCTGGAGACAGACAAAAAGAACTTATAGACTACCAAAGCAACTAAGCAGTTACTTAAGTCTCCTGCGTTCTAAGAAGATACAGAAATTTATGATTAATTTAATGATCCTTACAGGTGAGGAACTCATGAGCTTCTAGCAAAGCCTTTAATATGACTGAAGAAATAGGCTCCATTTGAAACCAATTAGATAAGTTGATTGCAATCTTTATGTGTCTCTGTAGTTGAGAGACACGTAACCGCATGTCATGGGGAAGCGGGTTCTCCATCCTGTGGCAAGAACTCGGGAATGTGTCACAGGGTGCAACGTTTTCATTCCTCAGAAAGTCCTGCCACCTGCTAAAGCTGCCCAATTCTCTTTTAAAGACTTAAGCCTGAAAGTTTTGGGCTGTCAGCCAGCCGCTGGGCGCTGTGTTTCACAATCAATGTGGATTGTAGATGCAAAGATAAGAAAGAAGATACTGGGCAAATGTATGAATGCAGCATAGCTTTAATTGCAGGAGAAGTACAGCACGCGTTGGGCAGAGCATCTCGTGGAGCAGCCTGGGTGCTGCCCAAGCAGTGGGAGTGGGACAGGGCTGCCAGGACCGGAGAGGTGGCCCCTTCAGAAGCCACCGCCGCTGCAGCTTCCTCCTCCCAGGGAGGATGCTCCAGACGTGTAGGACCTCCTGTATCCGTGGGAGTACCCCCCGATGCCGGAGGAGCGGCCTCTTCTATAGGAGCCCCCAGTGGACAGAGCTGCCCCCACCATAGGAGCCACCTATTCCCCCAGAGCTGCCCCCACCATAGGAGCCACCAATTGAGCTGCTTCCTCCATAGAAGGGCCCCCCCCTGAAGTTTCCATCGTTGGGGAGCACGGTGCCCACCAGGCTCTGCTGCGGGCAGGAGCTGATGATGGGGCCGGGGAAGGTGACGATCACGGGCGGTGGGTAGACCACGGCGCGGGAGTCCCCGCAGGAGGTGACGCAGGGCTCGTTCCAGGCGCTAGCACATGGCTCTGGGCAGGTCACCTCACAGGGTTGGTAGCATCTGCTGCTCAGGAGCTGTCCACCTGAAGACATCTTTTGTGATGGAGATCAACCTGCAGCAGGTGATAAAGCCTAAGTGTGATGCTCAAAAGCCAGAGGGAAAAGCGCTTGTAGATCTGTAGATCTTGTAGTTTCATGCACATGCATGAACTAACACAACTGACACTTCCCCACTTGATTTCTCCTGCTATATACAAATGGATATTCAAGGAGAGCAAAGCCAAGCATAGCCTGTCTTTGGAATTAGCTCCTCTTTTGTATTTTAATACATAACCCCAGAGTCTGTTAACAATATCGGACTATTCCAAGTGTCTTGGAGAATCCAGTCTTACAATTCACATCTTTCTCTACGAAGACATACATTTAAATCTCAACACACACATACATATATATATTAGAAAAGACAAACAACTGAGCATCACACTCTTAGTGGAAGACTGAGGCCTTAGTCAATGATGAACAATTTTCCTAATCATTTGTAAAGAGAATAAAAGAAATCTAACTTACCAGATCTGGAAGAGAGTAGAAGAAGTTGTAGAAGAGCAGGTGTTATGAGACTGAAGCGTTCACCGGGCTCTTATATATGCTCAGACCACCGGTAGGATGTGAGCCACACTTTGTGCAAGAGCAGCTTGAGTGTTGCCAAACCATGTTTTGCCATATGAATAATTTCTGTAATTGTTCTAATTGTTTTCATAAGTGATATGGTCATTAGTTTATTCTCAATTCCGAGTCATTTGACAAATGCTTCACGCCCTGTGTTTTATTTTATCCTTCAAATCTGACAACACTAACTAGCAGCTGGTATCATCCCTAGCCCTTACTAGAGTTGAAAGGGAAGTGAGTCTAGATGCACCTGGCTGAGGGATGCAGCCAGCTCATAAATTGCTTTGCTGCACAATACTCCATTTTTCTTCTTTCAAGCCTGAGTTGCAAAGAGTTGGGTTCTCATAGAAGTCACTCAAGTGGTGCTGAAATGTGGGGAGAAGCAGCAGTCACTGTCTAGGTTCCTTTATGTAAGTTGGTATTTCTCAACTCAACAGCGGGAAACCGGGGAGGTTCATGTGAAGCGAGGAGCAAAACTGCTGACTTTCAAAACTGCTAAATCAAGGGCTGCCCACTGATGCCTGACAGAACTCGCTCTCATTCTGTTGCAAGATCTTGACCTTGTAAGCTCTCCGTGTTCCATTTTCTAACCAGGTCTGAATATGTCAGAAGCACATGATATAAACATTAAATAATGCAAAAAGTGGAGCAGCTTGGAAAAACACCATTTAGGCTTGGGTAGGTTTCCCTACTCACGGCTATGACTGAGTCAAAATCCAGAACTACATTACTTTGATCCAGAAATAAAGCATGAGAGCAGGGTGTTTGATATTGCTGGTGCATATCAATATCATGTTTATATGTTATAATGTGGCAAAAATAATGATCATATCTAATGTTTTCCCCTGATTTCTGATTATTGAAAAAGAAAATTTTGTTTAGACACTTTTCTACTTACAGACTGCTTCATCTACTAAAATATGAGACTTTTAACTACTCATCTAAGAGAACCAGAGAGGCTTTCTTGAAACAAGTCTTCACCTCTCAAGATACATAAATTTTTGGTTAGATTCCAAGAAAATTAGACACATTCTACACACATGTGTTCCTTGTCCAAAAAATTGCAAATATGTTTTTTTTTCTTTTTTTTTCTTTTCTCTGCAATTATGAATTTAAAGGGAGTCTTTTTGCTGAACAGAGAATATTTCTCCTGACAGGGCCAAATTCTTCAGCTTGCTTAAAGCCAACGGGGCCCAGTTCAGTGCCACTGCAATCCAAATGAGGTCGGGAGGTGGTGATAATAAAAAAAGAATATAAAAACTATTTAAGGATTAAAGCGAGACAAAGGGCGTGTTGCGCATATTCTATAATGTGAGGCTGATTTACTAATCATTATCAGTTATCAAAGCACTTAGAACAATTAGAAGAAGCTTATACAGCAAAATATTTTGCTGGCTAACTATTAAGGCCCATGCGTGAAAGCGTGTTGCGTACGCAGCGGCAGGTTGAAGGGTATATAAAAGCGCAGTGCTCGCTCTGGGTTCACCAGCAGCTTCAATTCATCTGGTTTTCACTGCAAACCCGGTAAGCTCGCATCCTTTATGTTGTTATTTTATTTGGGGGATGTTGCTGTTGGTGTTTGACTTGGGAACGAAGCCTACATCAAGGCTTTGCAATGACCAGCGATATCAGCCTTGTTTTATTTCTTTCATAGATGAGACTTTGTAGCTGTTCAGTGGGTACAGGTGCTAGATGTAGGGCTGTGTTCTGGCAAGGCACAAGAGCAAGAGGTTTTTTAAACTCTGTTGTTTAAAAAAAGAGGCTGAAAATTAAATATTTGCTGTTTCACATCTGTAATTCCAATAGTACACATGAATACTTGGGCATTTCTTAAGATAAGTTTTTATATACATATGTTTATATATACATGCACATTACTAGATAGCAAGAACTGCTGTTGGTTTCTAACCAACAGGATCTGTCAATTGTTTCTAGCAAAAAAAAAACCCCAACTCATAGTTGAGTTTATTATATTAGTGAATGTCCTCAGCAGAAGTAATGGTTAGTGCTGAGGGTGGTAAGATAGTCTCTAGAACAAGCTAAAGGTGTTTTAGAAAGCTGTGTCCTTTAATGGTGGCAATGCTGGACTGCCACAGAAGGTGACTTTGTGTCTATTATTTAGTTTTACACATACTGCAGAATGGTTCTTCAGATGGGGTTAACAAAGAGCATCTCCACAGAAGTAATTCTCATGTTACAGGAAATATGATTAATTCTAGCAGGAAACATAGAGCTTTTGTAGTCAACAGAGGTTGTATAAAGATGTGGAGCTGCACTTGCATGTTACTTCTACTCCTTAAATTATGCTGCAGGTTGATCTCCATCACAAAAGATGTCTTCAGGTGGACAGCTCCTGAGCAGCAGATGCTACCAACCCTGTGAGGTGACCTGCCCAGAGCCATGTGCTAGCGCCTGGAATGAGCCCTGTGTCACCTCCTGCGGGGACTCCCGCGCCGTGGTCTACCCACCGCCCGTGATTGTCACCTTCCCCGGCCCCATCATCAGCTCCTGCCCGCAGCAGAGCCTGGTGGGCACCGTGCTCCCCAACGATGGAAACTTCAGGGGGTTCCCCTATGGAGGAAGCAGCTCAATTGGTGGCTCCTATGGTGGGGGCAGCTCTGGGGGAATACGTGGCTCCTATGGTGGGGGCAGCTCTGGGGGAATAGGGGAGGCGGATTCAGCTCTGGCTCATACGGCGGTAGTGGATCCTTTGCCCCTGGGGGCTGCTATGGAGGTGGCATGTCCTCCTCCACTGGGGGCTCCTATAGAAGAGGCCGCTCCTCCGGCATCGGGGGGTACTCCCACGGATACAGGAGGTCCTACACGTCTGGAGCATCCTCCCTGGGAGGAGGAAGCTGCAGCGGCGGTGGCTTCTGAAGGGGCCACCTCTCCGGTCCTGGCAGCCCTGTCCCACTCCCACTGCTTGGGCAGCACCCAGGCTGCTCCACGAGATGCTCTGCCCAACGCGTGCTGTACTTCTCCTGCAATTAAAGCTATGCTGCATTCAAACTCAATCCTGATTTTTTTTTCTGCAATTTGTTTTCAAGTTTGGGGTAATTCTGCGGTAATGCTGAGGTGTGTCTCAGTGTCCTGGAGGAGTGATATGAAAATCATGCACCAGAGTTGTGCTCCGGTGGGAAACAACCCACCAGAACTCATTGGGTTTTGCACAACGTGTTGCGATTTCCTAATGTCATCTGGCATAGGCTCAGAAAGGCAGATCAGCTGATGCCTTCCTAGACCTATTAAGTGACTGCAGACATGTTCTCCTTAACAATAAGGACCTTTAATATCCATTTAAGTTCATTGCAATGTAACAATTCTTATATGTGAAGATCTCTCTTTGCAGATTTCCTAATGAAGCACCTAATGCTCAGATTTGGGCACACATGCCCTTCAGCTCTGGCTCTCCGCTCCTCCTAATTGTTACTGAGACACTTTCCCGTAAAGGAGTGACTCATCTGCTGAATCTGGTCAGACCGCTCTGCTGACTAACAGTGAAGCACCTCTAGGTGAATAAAAAGCAAACAAAAACAGAGGAATATCAACTGTGGTTTCCTCTGGTCTCTCCCATGACCCTGGAGCTCCGGGAAGGGAACAGTGGAAAAGCAAAGCAGCAGCAAGGAGTCCTCATGGACATCCCATGGCCAGTGGAAGCAGTAAGAGCTTAAAGCTTTTTCTTGGTCAGATTTCAAAGGAAATTTTAAGGGAGAGAAAAGCAATATTCACCCCACTATAAATCCAGTGGGAAAACAGGAGTGAGAGTCATATTTTTATATTGTAACAACAATAAAAAGAAAGGTATTTGCTATTTCGCTTTTCTAGCTATCTGAAACCAACTGTGATAGTACAATTACTTCTCAACCATTGATTTGATATAAACAAACAAACGTAAATAAGGAAATATGTATGTGTGTCTATATACTGGCTGGCTCCAAAGCTCCCTCTGGACCTGGTCCCGGGAAGGACAGCTGGCCTGGGAGGTGCCACCAGCAGCTCCTGCGTGAGCCCTGCTCCTCCTGCTGGGCTGTGCACAAAATGCTCCGCAGCTCGAAACGCAGCCGGAGCGCGAGGCAGAGCGGGGGCATCTCTCCCATATCGGAAATATTGGCAGGCCAATATGTGATCCAGGAGGACGCAGCCCTGGGAGCTTTGCCAGAGCATTCACGGACTGATGTCGCTTTTCCAAAGATGTATTATTAAAACTGGCCTTTTTTTTCCCTGCTTTTCAACAGCTCCCAACTGCCCTGGGAGCTTTGCCAGAGCATTCATGGACTCATGTCACTTTTCCAAAGACATATTATTGAGACTGGCCTTTTTTTTTTCTTCCTGTTTCTCAACAGCTCCCAAGTGATGCTTTTCAAAGCAACCCTCAGCAGAAGACCCACGTGGAGCAGTGGGGTAAAAACCGGGTTTGTGCACTCAGTTGGGCAGTGCTGGCCAGGCTGCCTCAAACTCTTGGGACCTGCCAGCCAGAGCAAGGTAAACACACACGTTGCACAGTCTCTGGGTTTGTTTTCCCACCTGCATTTCCATACATGTGCGACATCTGTGTTTATTATTTATGTTGCAACGTCCTTGCTATCAATTATCTCTTGGAAGTAAAATGACTTTGTAGGATCCTCTAGGCAAAAATGCTTGTTGAAAATGCTCTGAGGAAATGCTTTCAAATAGTTTTGGAAACACCCTCTAATGTTTAATACATGCAAAGTATTGTGGCGCTGTGATGTTAATAATACGTTGCTAGTACTAAACTCCATGGGACTGAGTCATAGCGTCACTTTGAAATATGTATGTCAGGGTCGCCCATGTGATCCTCTGAATCAGGTAATGAAAAAACACCTGGGGAATTTGGATGCCTTTGTTTTTTCTTTTGATTGAAAGCCAGCTTGGCATTTGCTATCCTAATCCTTTAAAATACATTGACCAAATATTTGTTATTCCACATCAGAATACCTATTTCTATAGCATTGTACTTCTGCCATCTGAGGGTGATGGGTCATGAGAAACATGTCATGAAATGCTGCATTTCGGCATGTCAAGCTGGGGACAAATCAGTACAGCACCTCCTAGTTCTCCGTAGTCTTCCTGAGGGATCTTAGCTAAATCGATCCCCTTTTTTTCCTGGCATACCCGTACATTAAAAAGGGATAAATCAGGTTTGTGAGCTTTCCCAGAGTGCCCTTCATTTCTCCCGGGTTTCCCACAGCACTCTTCTCTATACTCACCAGCATTTTTTCCGACACGAATGTGACCATAACCGCTGTGGAAGGGACTGGACAGACAGTGATCTCACCCAAGCCAGATGGAGCAATTCCTGGGTCCCTCTCACCATCCCCAAAAAGCTTTCTCTCCTTGTGCTTCTTCCTTGTGGCCTTGGGAGGACTATATGACCGGGAAAGAGACCTCTCATGCTCAGCGGTGGCCAAGGCTCCCACAATGACCCCTCACAAAGCAGTGTGTCCTCCTCACCTTGGAAGCTCCTTGACCATCATGTGAGGAGCTGGGCCACCATGGGCAAGTCTGAGCTCTGCTAGGAGTGTCTCTCCAGGACAATCCTGACACTCCAGTCATGCAGTGACTGTTGTCTCTGTAAACACATCCTAACAAGCATTAGACTAGCCAGCTTGCTTGCTGCTAATGCTAGGTTAGGTCCTTATGCATTCTTGCAGGTGTTGATGCAAAGCATAGAAAATATGTTCCTCTTTTCTAGGGAACTGCAGGGATCTGTCCTGCTGCGTCTCGGAGGAGCCACAGGACCGGGAGGGCTCTGTGCAAGCTGGGGTTTTGTCCTGCCGTCCACCGTCCCACTGCCAGCCCTGCATGAATGGGTTTGATGCTTAAAACTGGGAAATGAAAGGAATCCGCAGCCGGGAATGTGCACGTCACATGCTGGCGAGAAAAGGGTAATCAACACAAACACCAAGCAAAACAATTACTGTAATTATACACCAAATTTTGTTTGGGGAGTAATGGAACCTAATGCACAAATATGACGTTATTTTCTTGCATCAGCCTGGTGGTCGAGGACAGTATATAAACCCATTCATGATTCACAGAGCTTCCAGCAGGTTGTCTTGACTTCTCCTCCGTGAACTGAGTAAGTTGGATTCTGATGTAGCCTTTTACTGCTAAAAAAATGTCACTTTTGAGATCTTTGGGTTTCCTTGAGGACTGCGTTTTGGATACATATTCTGCAATTCTTTACAATATTCAGGAGCTTCTTTTCATAAAGAAGCCATTTGCTAAGTATTCATTTAAAGGCATTGGTGGATTGAGGTTTAAAAATTCATTTGAAATCTAGATCATATTAAAGATATCTAATTTCCATTACTTTGGTGAGGTTTCATGTATTTAGCTTTAAAATATCTTAGCCAGCAGTATGCATTTGGCAGTGTTGTTCTAGACTTGGGGCTTCTGAAATTCATCTAGTTTAGGAGAGAGGCATATGGAGACAGGCAATATCAACACCGCGATGGAGAGACAGCTCGAGTCAGAACAGAGTCAGCTGCTATTCTATAAATATTTTGTAGTGTGTGTTACATTTTTGGATCTGTTTTGGTTTAGTCACCTATGGCTTTCATTCTGCTGTAGAATTTGTGACTTAATTCAAAAATAGATGTAATAGCATGAAAGGGTGGGACCATGAGGATAAGGTCTTAGGCTTAGAAGTTTCAGATGAATAATGTGCATTTTGGCAACATGTCCAAAATAGCTAAGGGAAAAAAAGAGGAAGAAATTGTTTGAGTCAAACCAAGCCTCACCCACATTTTCTACTTTGTTGCTCAGCAAGTTGGAAAATAAGCAATCCCTTTGCGAAAGACAAAATGGTTCATTTCGTCTGCAACAACGCATTACCTAGCTCCTCTCTTGCCTTTGGAGCTTGAATTTGGTTAAGGAAAAGCAGCAAAGCAAAGCGGAGCAGGGTGGTGGCAGTCTAGCTGCTGCTCCGTGGCTCTGCAGGGCTCGCGCACTCATCCTGTCCTACTGGCTCACTCGGTTTTGCATTTGCTCCTTCCCACGGCTCCCAGGTCTCCTCCGGCGCGGCAAGATGTCCTGTGAGAAAGCGCTGTGCACCGAGCCGTGCTCCATCCCCTGCGAGGCCAAATGCCCCGAGCCCCTGGCCGCCGCCTGCACGGAGCCCTGCGCGCCGCCCTGTCCCCCC